TCAAATAAGACATTGAATCCTTTATCGCATAATTGACTAATACTCAATAGATTATGCTTTAATCCATTCACATATAAAACATTCTTAATTTGTATGGAAGAGGTATTACCTATTGTACCAATACCTTCAATGTGACCTTTTGAATTGTCTCCAAAAGTCACTTCTCCTCTATTTTTGGCGTTAAGCTCAATGAATCGGCTTTTGTCTCCGGTCATATGTCTTGAGCATCCACTATCAAGGTACCATGAATTTGAATTTGTTTCCCGTGCCTTGTAGTAATGCTCCTTTCCCTACAAACATAGATTAACTTTTGATTTTTGGTACCCAAATTCTTTTGGGTCCATATTCATTAGTTTCCAAAATCCTAGTCCCCTTAGGTATCCATTTGTGTAGGATATCTTTATCTTTAGTAGTAATGAGTTCTTTAGGAACCCACATACTTCTAACGATTTTTCCATTTAAAGTTCTTTGGGGACCTCTATGATTGTAGCTTCTAAAACTTTTTCTAACAAAGTTGGATTTTGAATTTTCTCCTTTTTTCAAAATGTTTTGTACCAACTTTATCAAAAGAAGTTTTAAGATCATCAATTTTCTTTTGATGATCATCATTGACCTTTGAAAGTAAATTTTGCAAATCTAAATTTTTCTTTTCAAATTCTTCTAGTTTGATCTGCAAATCTTTAATTTTACTTTCAAGATCATTATTGGTTTTGGATATGAGTTTGTTTTCATTTTTTAATTTTGAAACATCATTTTTTATATTTTAAAAACAATTTCTCATAATCCGAAGCCAACCCATTGTACTCCTCAAATAACTCATCATAAGATAAATCATCAAAATCGGATGAGTTAGAGGTTACCTTAGAATCTTCCCCGAATGCCATCAAGCACAAGTTTGCTACTTCTTGTTCTTCTTCATCGGAACTTTCTTCATCGCTCCATGTAGCCACATGAGCCTTGTGCTTATTCTTTGATTGACCCTTTTTCTTCAATTGTGGGCAATCATATTTGACATGCCCCGGCTTTTTGCATTCATAGCAAATGATTGGGTCCTTCTCTTTTGGTTCATTTTTGAGGCCTTCGTTTTGTTTGAATTTTCTTCCTCGGTAAGGTCTCATCATTTTTCTGAACCGTTTGGCAAATAATGCAATTTCCTCGTCATCATCATCATTATTAGAATCACTCTCATCTTTTGTGGATTTGAGAGCAACTCCAATGTTTTTCTTCTTCTCCTTTTCCTTTGGTGTCTCTTCAACTTTATCAAGGTCCACCTCATCTTCAAGCATCATCTCATGAGTGAGGAGTGAACCGATAAGTTCTTCAAGAGTTAAGGATGATAGGTCCTTAGACTCGATGATTGCCGTCTTCTTTGATTGCCATGATTTTGGGAGGGAGTAGACTAACTTCCTCACAAGCTTTTCATTTGAGATGATCTCTCCATACGATTTAAGACCATTGACAATCGTTGAAAATCTATCCGTCATAGCTTTGATGTCTTCATTTGGTTTCATCCTGAAATTTTCATAGCTATGCGTTAGAATACTAATTTTTGATTTCTTTACCTCATCTGTACCTTCATGTGTGACTTGAAGCTTGTCCCATATTTCTTTGGCGGTTGTACACAATGAAACTCTTCCGTATTCATCTGGTTCAAGAGCACAAAAAATAATATGGATGGCTTTGGAGTTGAGCTGGAACATTCTTGTGTCTCCTTCACTCCACAACCTTGGATGAGTGAGAGGCTTGATGTATCCTTCTTCTACGGCATTCCATGCTCCCATGTCACTTGCTTGAATGAAGTACATCATTCTATTCTTCCAATAGGCATAATTAGCCCCATTGAAGAAAGGAGGCTTGTTGACGGGCATCGAATCGAGACCGGAGTCGAAGTTTGAAGCGGAGGCCATTGATGACTTTGATAATCGATATAACTCTTCCCGAATCAACTCAAGAGGTGATTAAACCTTCAAATGAGTTAGGCTCTGATACCAATTGTTGAGTTAATCGATCGACGGAATTGGCCAAGAGGGGGTGAATTGGCAATAAAAAATTTCGTGGAAGCTTTTGCAGAAAATTGAAAGTAATTGCACAGTGATTTACAGTGGTTCGACTTTCTCAAACAAAGTCTACGTCCACTACCTTAGCTATCCACACTAAGGATTTTCCAACAAATTCACTAATTTGTTCTTTCTTTTGAGGCCAAAGAGATAACCTTACAAAATCCCTCAAGAGTATACCCCAACTCTTGAGAACACTCTTTTTCCCAAAGAGAAGATTACAAATTTGCAAACTTACAAGAAAACCTCACAAGGTAAGATGTTTGCATAATTCTAGAACAAAGAAAAGAACACTCAAAGATAAATACAATTGAGTACAAAAGTGTTCTTGAAAGCAAATGAATATTGGATGAAAAATAGGCTTGAAATGCTCAAACTTGAGGTTTGATGCTTTCTCTTTGATTCTCTATGATTTCTTTTGATCAAGGGCTTCAGAACTTGTTTAAATACACCTTGAATCACTTCTGAACGTTGGTGATAATTAGTGGAGTCAATAGAGCCGTTCAAGTGTGAAAACAATTAATTTTTCTGGGTGGAGCGTCTCATGCATCGATGCATGATGGAGGATGCATCGGTGCATCAGTGTAAAATTCAAATATTTTGACCGTTGGAACACTTGATGCATCGGTGCACCAAGTGTGCATCGATGCATGAAATGCATTTGATGTTTGAAAATAGCCTGAGTGCATCGATGCATGGCTTGTGCATCGATGCATCAAATGCATTCGATGTTTTGAAAATATTCAGAGTGTATCGATGCATGGAGAATGCATCGGTGCATGGAATGCATTCGATGTTTCAATTAATTCACTAATGCATCGATGCATGGTTGATGCATTGGTACATCACCTCAAATAATTGAATTTAGGCTTTGATTTTGGTTCAAAATACTTTGTGAAAATTGTTTTAAAAATAGTTTAAATACAAATCACAATTTTACACATTTAGTAAGGTTTAAAATTGATCTTGAAAAACTTGGAGTAATAATTTGATATTCGGTTAATTGAATCGAATATAAAATTGTAAAATCATTTGTAAAATCTTAAAATTCATTTAACTTAATTTGTTATATCGAAATATCAAAAATGTTTTCAACAGGAACCTAACAGAATAGGATGCCAAGGCATCTGCTCTCACTCAACGATATTGGCCAGCCTACCCTATTGATAAAAACACCCTTTTTAGTCTTTAAAATCCTATTCTAGTCTCTTTCGAGATCTAAGGGATTAGGTTGTAATATCCATAGGCCGGTTCAAAGCCCCTTGGAAATATTATAACCCATTACTTATGAGGATCTTATCTTGCGGTTCTCTCGAATACTTACAAGTATTTCTAGCTTAGGTTTCTCCCAAATACCTAAACTTCATCTAAGAAATGGACATTTCCATGCCTCTTACAAGCCTAGATGGTGAAACATTCATAAGCAAAGCAAATAAAGAACCAAAATAAACTCAAATATATCATCAAAATAAAGTCTAAACATCCATTAAACCAACCACTACCAAATAAGTTAGTTCATGGTGGGGTTCGAAATATCCAAACACAAAGTCATGCAAATATTCGTTCCAACAACCCACAAATAAATCGAAAAATAATAGCAAAAAGGGAAGTGAGAAGAAGCCTTCGACGTGTCACCGGAGGTCTCCTCGGCCACCACGAATTACCTTAGCTTGCTAGCTCCTCTCGACACGTAGCTCGCCACTTCTTGGAGCTTAATCAATGGAGGAAAACCCAAGGAAGAAGAAAAGGAAAATGAAATAAAAATCTGATTTTTTTCTGCTCTATGCGTGTGCCTCTTCTTCACGTCTCTTCTTTTCCTTTAGGTGTCATTACAATAAAAGGATCTAGGGTAATGATTAGGTTGTTAGGTGCGAAATACCCCTCATACCCCTAGAATCACACCATAAGCATGAACTTAATTCTCCAGGTGGCCTTAGTCCTCTAGAAGGTGGCTACATCAATCATTCCACGTGCAGTGCTAGCTGTCCTCATACAACTGTATCTTTTTGTCGTTTTCTGCGCCAGAAATGCCAAGGCATTTCAATCTGCTTCAGCAACGTGTGATGCCGCGACATTACTTCCCATCTAGTCCTTTTTGCTTGCTATTCTCTGCACACCACAGACAAACTGCACCTTTCCTTCAAGTAGCATCATTAAGAAATAAAATAGCACTACCACCACAAATGCAACTACATGATCCTAAAATGCCTAAAATGAGCTTTTTAACAAACAATAACTTAAGTGAAAAAAGCCTTAAAAGTAGCCTTTTTAGGAAGTTAACAATTATTAATATTATTTTTTCTTTATATAAATTAAACTATATAATTTATATAAATTAAACTATATTAATTTTCCTTTGCATTATTAATAATGTTTGATCTAATTTAAATTTAAATAATTTATAATTTTATTAAATAATTTTATATAATTGATCTATTTATTAATATAATTATCATAATAAATATTTTATTATAACATTTAAAAAATAATCATATTAATATTTTAATTACATCATAAGTTAAAAAACTGATAATTTATAAGATTTCCATGGTAATATATAAGTCAGATAAATATTAGATCAGATCATTAACAAGTCGGATCATTTATAGGTCAGGTTAAAAACAGATCAGGTTAAAAACATGTCAGGTTGAAAATAAGTCAGGTTGAAAACAGGTCGGATAATACCAGTTATTTACCAGGTCAATCTCGGGTTCGGGTTCATATTAGTTGGATGCAGTTCGAGTTCGGGTATCATATTTTCGGTTCAATTCAGGTTCAGATCGTTCTCAGGTCGGATGCAGGTCGGGTTCGGATCCACAATTTCTAGGTCTAAATCGGATTTAGGTCAACATCAGTTCCGACTCGAGTTGGTTTCGGATCGCCACAGTGCATGTCAAAAACAATTTTGACTCGAGTCGATTTTAGTCAGTTTTACAAGTTGAATCAACTTTTTAAAGCCCTAACTAAGAGGCTAACTAAGAGGTTGGCCGCCACTAGTAACCCTATAGCCAATGGTTCTATTGTCCCCATGCTTCCTCTTTTCGGATCAACCGCTGTTCCATAAACTGTGTACATCAATCCAAATGTCATAACTATCTCTAGTATCATGCAACGCAGCTCTCCGACTCCGTACGCCACCGTGAACCCCACCGGCCGCTGAAACCAAAGAGCAAAGAAATTATGAGAACTTATTATCTATCACACACAATTATAAGGATAGACACAAGATTTAATATTAGAAATTAATTTATAAAATTTAAAGTGCAACGCAATTATGAGAACTTACCATCAATCACACGCAGATCACACAAATTTATATATATATATATATATATATATATATATATATATATATATATATATATATATATGAAGTCAGACGTAAGATTTAATGGTAAGATTTAATGTTAATGATGAATTTATAAAATTTTAAAGATAAATACAAATTATTAATAGAAAATAGGATAAACTATGTATTTAGTCATAGTAATATTGTTCGTACCAAACAATTAATAACTTTTTTTTAAAAAAATATACCTAATGTTATGCTTTAATCATTATTGTTGAATAATAAGTAGAACTACTAAGGTATTAGTGTAAGGAAATGACCATTCAATTCAGTTGATAGAGCACAAGGTTTTTATCGTTGGGGTCGTGGAATCGAGTCCCACAGAAGGTATTTCATAATTCGTCTCCTACGGAAGCTGCTCTCAACCTGACGTTGGGGGCAGCCTACTATCATACATCCCCTATCCCATTACATATGAGAAACCCCATTACATATGAGAATAAGGATTAGCTAACTAAGGTATTTGTGTAAGATAATAGCACATCATCGTTGGAAAATAAAAAAAAAAATTTACAACTCATCGGTTTTTGTTTATTTTTTAGTTTTATTTAATTTTTTAAAAGTGGGTGAATTAAAAAAAACATTATGAATGATTTTGGAAGAAAATAATTAAATGACCAAAATATATATGAATTTGAAATTCTCAGACCCTTCCACCGAGCAAGGCACCGAAGGTGACGGCCGGATTCACATGGCCACCCGATACGTTCATACTGGATGCCACAGCAGCAAACAAAGCCAACCCATGCGCAAGTGCTACCATCACCAGTCTTGAAGGCGTTGTACTCGTAGTCGTATCCTTATACTTCTTGTCTGCAACCATTTTTAAACAAAGCAGAAACATCAATCAAAAGCCATTAGAAGGAATTAAGTACATGAGATGGAGACAGTACCGAAAGCCAGAATCGAGCCCTCGCCGGGGAAGACGAAGATGATAGTGGCTAGGAACTCAGCCAAGGTGGCTCTCATGGAGTCGGGATGAGTGACCTCATCAGCCCTCCCAACTGCATATCTACGAGTTGGCATCTAAAACAAAGAAGCTGCTGTAAATAATTGCACCGATGCTTCAGCTTGTGCAGAGAAAAATAGCAGAGATGAAGAGAAAAGCAAAGAGCTTGTGCATGGATGAGAAGTGGAAGATGATTTGCTTAAATTAGACGGAGGGGAATTGGAATCATGTGGGACACTTGGGAGATGTTAACCCATCAACTTTGACACGTACATATCTATGTGTTGCCTTCTCACTAACTCTTCCATTTTCTTTTTCATTATAAAAAATATTATATATATATATATATATATATTGCAGCAATGTATGGAAACATCGTTTGAAGGTCCAACAACTTCACTGCAATTTGTCCGTTTGAAGGTCCAACATTCTCTGCATCGTTTTCCTCTGTTACATCGGGTCTGTATAACGGCAATTAGGAGTTTAAATAACGGTTCACTATTAGAAAAGCAGTCCATTACTGAAATGACAATTGTTATATAAAAATAACGGTATCGTTCGAAATCATTATTGCACGATTAATTCTTTAGATTTAAAGGGTTAATTTTGTTTCCTTCATCAGTAGTGGCTTGAGGTTCACTGTTTGAAGAAAGCATTGAGTCTTTTTCAAGTAGATCTCGTCTTTTGTCTGATATTTTATTTTTGAATAGTTCAAGGTAATTGTAAAATAATACATATTTTAAAAAAGTTTAATCAATTGACAACATACATATAAAGCGCAATTGCTTAAATTCAGAACTTTTAAGGAAAATAACATTTTCTTTTATCATTTAACGGGTTAAAAATGTAAAAGAGGGGTTAAACAAACGAGGAACCACATAAATACCTTCTTTGGCCTGCATGCAATGCATACATTGCTGCTTCCATATCTTTCAGCGGCCGCTTTTAAGGTCTCAAAAGCTCCTTTAAACAGTTCTCAAATGCTTCCATACATTGCTGCAATATTTATATATTATATTATAATATAATTTTTATAATTAATATTTTAATTTTAAGACATATATTATCGATAATTTCAATTGTAGTTTGATATTATATTATTTTTTTGTTAAAACATAACTTCAGTTGGCCCAGTGGTTATCTAATTTTTTATTTTTATTTTGTAAGGTTTTGCCCTTTTCTCTCTATCTGGGTGGCACGTTCTAGGGTTTTTTCCTTTTAGTTTTAGTTATTCGATCAACGTCAACAATTAATTTTGATGTTCAATCTCGGATGTTTTACTTCAATCATGGGTGATCTAGTCCAACACTTGGATGATTTACAATTGGAGGAGGAAGAAGAGGCTTTACCGCTCAACGTTAACAAAGGGGACATTCTTATATCCTACTAGAATTGTTTCTTAGGGTTTTGTCATACGTCAAGTATGATCAATGTTCAGGTGATGAGGACAACGTTGGCTAACGTGTGGCATCCTATTGGGGGGATTTCTATCACTAAATTTGGGGAGGGGAGATTTATGTTCCGTCTATATCATGTTGTTGATGCTGAACGAATCGAGACGGAGGGTCCTTAGTATTTCAATGGACATCTACTAGTTATGCATAGACTGAAGGAGGGTGATGATCCAATGTTAGTCGCTCGGCAAACGGTGGATTTTTGGGTTCAAATTGTGGACTTACCGGTGGGTTTTGTATCTAAAGCGATGGCTACTCAATTAGGGAACTTCATTGGTAAATTCTTAATTTATGATGCTTCTGCTATCTCGATGGGATATAGGGGATGCAGTCGTGCTTGGGTCCGAATTGATATTCGCTATCTTCTGAAACGTAAGAATAAGCTGGCCTTTTCCGGTGGTAAGCATGCATATACTTTATTCTGATAAGATAAGTTGTGATTATTTTGTTTCTTGTGTGGCAAGTTAGGCCATGGTGAGGGTTTCTGCTCGCTACGTATTCTAAAGGACAAACGGGATCATGTTCCACAGTGGGATGTATCACTACGGGCTCCTCCGAGACAAAGGGGGTTTGCTAAAAGTCCATGGTTAAGGAGGGAAGAGTGAGGTGGTACTTTGCTCTCTGCTGGTAATGGGGGGAATGGCTTATTGACGTAGTTATTACTTATTCAATTGATGGCTTATTGTGGAGATGTACAGGATTTTACAGTGCACCTGAAGAACATCGAAGACGTGCTTCTTGGGATTTTTTACGATAACTTGATAATGAGTTGGATACCCTGTGGCTTGTTATCGACGATTTTTATGAAATTCTTCTTTCTACTAAGAAAAATTGAGGCCTGGGTAGAAATGTGAGACAAATAAAGGATTTCTGTGTTACTCTTTCCGATTGCGGACTTGATGATATTGGTTATTCTGGGACTTGGTTTACATGGGAGAGGGGCCGACGAGTAGATAATAACATTCGAGAGAGCTGGATAGAGGAGTTGCTAACCTTAATTGGTTGGAATTGTTTCCCCACTATACCCTTTCACATACGACACACTTTATATCGGACCATTTTTTCGCTTTTGCTTAATACTATGTCGCATTCTTACATGGGTTGACACTGGCACTTCAAATTTGAAGCCGCTTGGTTGATGGAAGAATTGTGCGAAACTGAGGTTTGAAACTTGTGGGAATCTTCTTCAGGTTTGGTTCTTGATAGGATACTAGTGGTTCGACATGGCCTTAACAAATGGTTTAGGCGTATGCATCGAGAGAAGTGTGACAGAGGTCGATCTAAAGAGGAGACTTGCCGAGCTTTTTGGCTTTCCTCTACAGATGATGTTCTTGGGGACATTGCGGACAAATCAAAATTTTATTGGGAACAATAGGCTAGAGAAAATTGGCTTCGGAATGGGGACAACAACACCGTTTTTTCCTAGGTTTGCGTAGCAGAGGAGACGCAGGAACAGAATCCATTCTCTTGAAAATGAGGAGGGCAAACGGTTTGTTGAGGAGCAGCAGGAAATTGAGGCCCATGCAAGGAACCATTTCCATAATCTATTTATGTCTAATGGGGGAAACGTGGATAATCAAGTTCTTGATGGCATCTTTTGATGTATTTCATTCGATATGAATACTGGTCTCTTAGCCGAATTCACTTTTGAGGATGTTACTAAAGCAGTCAAGAAGATGAGCCCCCTAAAAGCTTCAGGAGTTGATATGCAGGAGGTGAATAAAACACACATTGTGCTTATCCCCAAGGTACAATCTCCATCAAAATTAGCTCAATTCCGTCCAATTAGTCTCTGTAATGTACTGATTAAGATTGTTTCGAAGATGCTTGTCAATTGAGTGAAGAGCTTGTTGCATGTTTGTATTGATGACATGCATAGTGCTTTTATTCTGGGGAGGCAGATTACTGATAACATTATCTCGGTATATGAGTTAATTCACTCTTTTGTTAATAAACGCACAAGGAAGCTTGGTTTTTTTGCTCTTAAGTTGGATATGAGTAAAGCATATGATAGAGTAGAGTGACTATTACATTATATAAACACTACCTAATATGTTATTGTGCTTAATAATATTTCCCGTAATTAACTTATTTTATTATATAAATGCTACCTATTACATTAAATAAGAGGTACCTAATATGTTATTGTGCTTGATAATATTTTCAGTAATTAACCTATTACATTATATAAGCGCTACCTATTACATTATATAAGCGCTACCTAATATGTTATTGTGATTGATAATGTTTCCAGTAATTAACATATTTTATTATATAAGCGATATCTATTACATTATATAAACGATACCTATTACATTATATAAGCGCTACCTATTATATCATATTTTTACCTGTTATTTTGTAAAGTATCGATCCTTTTTATAAAAAGGATCGATACTTTCAACATATCATGTAACATTATGATAAAACCGGTAAAATTTACCTGATATGTTGAAAGTATAGATATTTTTTATAAAAATGTATCGATACTTTGTTGAAAGTTATGTAATTTATGTTTCAAAATTTTTTAATAGTGCTTAATGTTTTCCACATACAATATTAATTTAATAATTTCATTTACACAAAAAATTATTTGATTATTTTGATATTTTATAAAATATTATATAGAATTTAAATTTAACAATTTTAACCAAAGATAATAATAAATATGTAATATCTATGTTTATTATTTTTAATTTAATAATAATATATATCGTAACATAAAATAAACCATTAGACGTGTATAATTACTAAATTAATATCTTAAAACTCACTAAAAAAATAACCTTAAATTAATATTTTTCACAGTGAAATAAATATTGACACTTATATATATGTATCGATACTTACCGATAACCAAAGTTTACCGGTTACCAAATTTTTTATTAATTTTTCATATTTTTTACCTAAAACATTATTAGTCTGTCAACATAATAAATAACACTAAACCGAATTTATTAAATATCTTTTAATATATCCGGTAATACCGTATATTAACCGTATATTAGTCGTCTTTCCTGAGACAATCTATGGCCCGGTGGTTTTGTTTCCAAGGCAAAACATGGAGTAGCAGCGGCAGGCTTGATGACCAAAATACGGTTACCAACTATTTCACAAAGCTATATTACTGAATAACCTAAAACAAATATCACACATCATGATGTCATGTACAACAATATTAGATTCCCCCATCCAATTAACTCTAACGTTCCAAAATTACATCATTCAAATACTACTTTGGTAAGGGGAAGGATTTATAATATATATATATATATAATACCATATAGCCAAACAAAATCAAACACCTTTGAATGCATTTTGCAGGCATGTCAAGGGAGGATAATAGCTCCTTCGAGAGATCCACTACAAATGGATAACATCAATTCCAGTCAGTAATACAAACAGCTCCTTCCCCGATCAATACGAGGAAGCCGAAGCTATTGCCGCAAGTCTAATCGAACAAACCTCAAGCTGATATGGGCTCATATGGGTATGATAGCCATGGGTGCTTCAGAGCCTCTGCTGCAGAAGGACGCTTCTTTGGGTTCACTTCAAGCAAATGAGCAACAAAATCAACGAAACCCTGGTCTCCCATAGGCAACCGATGCCTCAAGGATGTCTTC